CAGATAAACAAGTATGGACTGTGTGCATGGGAGTGACTTTGGGTGGGGGGCCCATGGAAACACAGCCCCCTTTGGAGAGGTGGGGAGACCCTTGTCTCAGCTCCCCATATCCCTCCTATGTGTAAGTCCCCTGTGCCTGTTAGGGGTACAGGGTAAGATGTCCTGATATTGTGTAGACATGTATAGGTGGGGTGTGGGGGGTGTTCATTGTTTACTGCCATATGGTCCCATTGTTATATTGTGTGTCTTGCTTGGGAGCAAACCATTATGGGATGTATGTGGTTGTGTATTGGCTTGGTGGGGGGTGTCTGCTGATGTCTCTTGTTGCTAGATTTGGTTTGCCCCACCCTGTGTCCTTATACAGGGAGGGGGGGTTGTTCCCTTGAATGTATATATCTCGTGTCCGTGTTAAAATAAAGCAGTCTATCTCCTGTATGGTCAGCGGTGGGGTCCGTGGATCTGTGTTGGGACGGGGAAGCGGGAGTCTAACGGAAATACCCCAGTGTAGTCGGGGTCCGGTTCCGTTACAGACTGTATACTGCCTGGTCTGTAGGGCTGTATACAGAATCTCTAACAAGAGGTTAGGCTCATAGTTATGGTTAAAGCTGAATTACAGGAAGATATATTAAAAAGCACCAATAAAAGCAGTTATACTAAAAATAATAATTATAATGTATAGTGTAAATATCAGAATTTTACTTGATTTAGGCCTCTTATAACTCCCCGAGGAGGAACACATAGTCAGGGGAAAGGATGACCACACTGCTGACTGATATGGAGAAGAATGTAGTAACATTTGAAGATAAAAAAGGTAAAAGAAACAGAAATTATCTAACAAAAAAAAAAAGGAAATCCATCGTAGAACAATATTTCCCCAACACTCAGCTGACTTCCCGTCCACTTATCTTAATAGTCTCACTCATGTCAATGATGATGTGCTCTGCACAGACGGGTGTGGGGGTCTCATTCCACGTTCTGGGGGGGGAAGGGGGGGGATATGAGCGCACGGTCACACACAGCAATGCTAAGTCATTCCTGGGATCAGGTGTAACGGTCCCTTCATTATCAGTACTTTAGAGGGGAGTGGTTGGGTCCTCAGGGGCCGGGCTTATCTATATTCAGGAATGATGAATCTGTGATGTCACTATAGCTAATGTGAGGAGAATGTGACTGCGAGGAGACATGGCTGTGCAGACAAATTATCTGCCGGCACAAAGAAATCCTGAAAAGGTGTAAGACTGCAAATGTTACTTTCTAATAATGCTGAGTGAGAAGATCTCTCCTCTTCTCTCCTTCACGCTTTTTCTCTAAAACCCCGTTCTCTCTACTTGATCCCCATTCTCTCTCTCTGACCCCCATTCTCTCTCTCTGATCCCCCCTCTCTCTCCCTGATCCCCACTCTCTCTCTCTGATCCCCCCTCTCTCTCCCTGATCCCCACTCTCTCTACTTGATCCACTCTCTCTCTCTCTCACTGATTTTCCCTCTGTTTCTCCTCTCTCCCTTTGCCTGATCCCCATTCTCTTTCTATGACTCCCACTTTCTCTCTGTGATCCCCCACTATCTTTTTATAACCCCCCATTCTTCTCTCTGAATTCTCCTCTTTTTCTCTGTTTGCCCATTCTCTATATCTGATCCCCCCACTCTCCCGATCCCCATTCTCTTTCTATGATCCCCCACTGTCTCTCCCTGATCCCCCCCCTTTCTCCCTGAACCACACTCTCTCTATATGATCCCTCACTCTCTTTCCCTGACCCTCGTTCTCTTTCTATGACTCCCACTTTCTGTATGTGATCCCCATTCTCTCTCTGATCCCCCCCATTTTTTTTCTCATATCCCCCCCTCTCCTCTGATCCCCCCTCTTTGTTCTCAGGTCCCCCATTCTATCTTTCTGATCTTCCCTTTATTCTGTTCCCTGACTCTTTCTTTCTTTACGATTCCCCTCTCTTTCACAGAACCTTCTCTTTGTTCTCAGGTCCCCCACTGTCTATCTGACCCCCACTCTCTCTGTCTGTCCCCCCACTCTCTCTCTGATCCCCCACTCTCTCACTGATCCCCCTTGCTCTTTATCTGACCCCCCACTCTCTCTCTCTGACCCCCACTCTATCTGACCCCCCCTCCACACTCTCTCGCTGACCTCCCCCACTCTCTTTATCTGACCCCCCAGTTTTCTCTCTGACCCCCCACTCTCTTTCACTGATCCCCCCTCTCTCTCTATCTGATCCCCCACTCTCTTTATCTGACCCCCCCCCACTCTCTCGCTGACCCCCCACTCTCTCTATCTGACCCCCCACTCTCTCGCTGACCCCCCCCCCACTCTCTTTATCTGACCCCCCCACTCTCTCTCTGACCCCCCACTCTCTCTATCTGATCCCCCACTCTCTTTATCTGACCCCCCACTCTCTCTCACTGATCCCCCACTCTCTCTATCTGACCCCCACTCTCTCGCTGACCCCCCACTCTCTCTATCTGATCCCACACTCTCTCTATCTGACCCCCCACTCTCTCTATCTGACCCCCACTCTCTCGCTGACCCCCCACTCTCTCTATCTGATCCCACACTCTCTCTATCTGACCCCCCACTCTCTCGCTGACCCCCCCCCACTCTCTTTATCTGACCCCCACTCTCTTTCTGACCCCCCACTCTCTCTATCTGATCCCCCCACTCTCTCTTTATCTGACCCCCACTCTCTCTCTGACCCCCCACTCTCTCTATCTGACCCCCCCACTCTCTCTTGCTGACCCCCCCACTCTCTTTATCTGACCCCCCACTCTCTATCTGACCCCCCACTCTCTCTATCTGATCCCCCACTCTCTCTATCTGATCCCCCACTCTCTTTATCTGATCCCCCACTCTCTCGCTGACCCCCCACTCTCTCTATCTGATCCCACACTCTCTCTATCTGACCCCCCACTCTCTCGCTGACCCCCCACTCTCTTTACCTGACCCCTCACTCTCTCGCTGACCCCCCACTCTCTCTATCTGACCCCCACTCTCTCGCTGACCCCCCACTCTCTTTACCTGACCCCTCCACTCTCTCACTGATCCCCCCACTCTCTCGCTGACCCCCCCACTCTCTCTGTCTGATCCCCACTCTCTCTATCTGACCCCCCACTCTCTCGCTGACCCCCCCCCCCACTCTCTTTATCTGACCCCCCCTCACTCTACCTGATCCCCCACTCTCTCTATCTGATCTCCATTTTCTTTCTATGACCTCTCTCTTATCCGCCCTCTTTTTCTCATATTCCCCATTTCTCCCCCCCCTCTCTCTCTCTCTCTCTCCTTCCCCTCCCCCCCTCCTCTCCTCCCTCTCTCTCCCCCCCCCCTCTCTCTCTCTCTCTCCTTCCCCTCCCCCCTCCTCTCCTCCCGTGTTTCTTCAGTTGTGGCGTTTAGCTCATTTACAAAGCACACATTTTCTGTCCTCTGAGCGCACGTCGATGGGCATCTGTTGGTTTTGGTTTGCACATTAAGAGCTCCCTGCATGGCGGTGCCAAGGCCGCGGTGAGGCCACAAACACAGCGCTCCAGTCTGAAAGTCTGTCATTATCATCAAATTATATTGTGCGACGTCCTAAAGATGGCGGCGGGGCCGGGAGAAGCGCAAAGTGCATAACCCCTGTCAGCCAACCATGCTCCCCGGCCCATCGCTGCTGAGCTGGTGAAATGTGAAGTCTGGTTGCTCGGGGGGGGGACTGCGCACTGCGAACCATCATGTCCAATCATCGCACAACCCTGGACACAGTATAAAAATTCAGGGGTTCTGCCGTTTCACCGAAACATTGCCAGGAGCCTGTCAGAGGTAGAATCTAACCGACGGAACTCTGCAACTCATGGTGACCACGTTGGGTAGTGCAGCTTCTTGCTCTTCCAGGCTCTTCCCCTCCCTGGGGAATGGGAGCGTAAAGTGTGTACAGTGCAAGGTGTCGCGCTGACAGGAGGGTAAACCAATCATCATACTTATCTCCTAGGATTGTCAGCGCCAACTAGTGGTCAGAATGCAGTGTTTTCCTGGTTCACGCTATAGAGAACATTCGCCTGGAGAGAAGTTAGCCTAATATCATTCGACTTTTTCACCAATTCACACAGAAGGAATGTACGTGTCACAGGATGCATGCCCTGAAAATGGTTTTGAACCCCCCCCCCTCCCGAACATGTTTTCAACGCCTTCTGGCCATTTTGAGCAGTTTATGCTACCTTGATGGCAGTGTAGGGTGTGCGGGGAGACTGTAAGAGCACAATGTTGTATGGAATTGGAATGCTAGTCGTTATTTGTATTCGTGTCTCTGACAGTCTCCTGAAGAATGTTCCCAGTCTCTAAAAGTCTCCTGCAGTATCTCCTCTAGTCTCTGACAGTCTCCTGAAGAATGTCCCCAGTCTCTGACAGTCTCCTGCAATATCTCCTCTAGTCTCTGACAGTCTCCTGCAATATCTCCTCTAGTCTCTGACAGTCTCCTGCAGTATCTCCTCTAGTCTCTGACAGTCTCCTGAAGAATGTCCCCAGTCTCTGACAGTCTCCTGCAATATCTCCTCTACTCTCTGACAGTCTCCTGCAATATCTCCTCTAGTCTCTGACAGTCTCCTGAAGAATGTCCCCAGTCTCTGACAGTCTCCTGCAATATCTCCTCTAGTCTCTGACAGTCTCCTGAAGAATGTCCCCAGTCTCTGACAGTCTCCTGCAATATCTCCTCTACTCTCTGACAGTCTCCTGCAATATCTCCTCTACTCTCTGACAGTCTCCTGCAATATCTCCTCTAGTCTCTGACAGTCTCCTGAAGAATGTTCCCAGTCTCTGAGACTCTCCTGTAGCATGTTCTCCAACTCTGACAGTCTCCTGCAGCATATTCACAGTCTCTGGCAGTCTGCTGCAGCATGTTCTTAAGTCTCCGCACAGTCTCCTGCAGTATGTCCAGTCTCTGAGACTCTCCTGTAGCATGTTCTCTGTCTCTGACAGTCTCTTGCAGTATCTCCCCAGTCCAGGGGCGGACTGAACATTCGAGCACTCGGGGCACTGCCCGAGGGCCCATTCGGGCACTCCCAGGGCCCGGGGGTCAGTAGGGGGCCCCATGAAATGCCCCTGGTACCTTTTTTATAGGCTTTTTTGAGTGTGAGCAAGGACACAGGGGCCTCATGATCCCCTATTGCCCGGGGGCCCCATGAGTTGTCAGTCTGCCCCTGCCCCAGTCCCTAACAGTCTCCTGCAGCATGTCCTTAAGTTTCCGACAGTCTACTGCAGCATGTCCCCAATCTCTTACAGTCTGCTGTAGCATGTTCTCAATGTTTCTGACACTCTACACTCTACTGCAGCATGTCCCCCAGTCTCTGACAGTCTCCTGTAGCATGTTTCCTGTCCATCACAGTCTCCTGCAGTATTTCCTTAGTCTTTGAAAGTTTCCTGCAGCACATCCTTAAGTCTCTGACAGTCTCCTGCAGCATGTCTTTAACGTCTCCAACAGTCTACTGCAGCATGTCCCCAGTGAGACTCTCCTGCAGCATATCCCCAGTCTCTGACAGCCTACAGCAGCATGTCCTCAGTCTCTGACAGTCTCTCCTGCAGCATGTCTTTAACATCTCCAACAGTATACTGCAGCATGTCCCCAGTCTCTGACAGTCTCTTGCAGTATCTCCCCAGTCCAGGGGCGGACTGAACATTCGAGCACTCGGGCACTGCCCGAGGGCCCGGGGGTCAGTAGGGGGCCCCATGAAATGCCCCTGGTACCTTTTTTATAGGCTTTTTTGAGTGTGAGCAAGGACACAGGGGCCCCATGATCCCCTATTGCCCGGGGGCCCCATGAGTTGTCAGTCTGCCCCTGCCCCAGTCCCTAACAGTCTCCTGCAGCATGTCCTTAAGTTTCCGACAGTCTACTGCAGCATGTCCCCAATCTCTTACAGTCTCCTGTAGCATGTTTTCTGTTTCTGACACTCTACTGCAGCATGTCCCCAGTCTCTGACAGTCTCCTGTAGCATGTTTCCTGTCCATCACAGTCTCCTGCAGTATTTCCTTAGTCTTTGAAAGTTTCCTGCAGCACATCCTTAAGTCTCTGACAGTCTCCTGCAGCATGTCTTTAACGTCTCCAACAGTCTACTGCAGCATGTCCCCAGTCTCCTGCAGCATATCCCCAGTCTCTGACAGCCTACAGCAGCATGTCCTCAGTCTCTGACAGTCTCCTGCAGCATGTCTTTAACATCTCCAACAGTATACTGCAGCATGTCCCCAGTCTCTGACAGTCTCCTGTAGCATGTTCTCTGTCTTTGACAGTTTCCTGCAGCATGTCCTCAATCTCTGATAGTCTCCTGCACAGAATTCCCAGTCTCTCACAGTTCATGCAGCATGTTTACAGTCTCTTACAGTCTCCTAGAGAATGTCTACCATTTCCTGTAGCATGTCCATAATCTCTGACAGTCTCCTGCAGCAAATCTGCAGTCTCCAAGCATCTCCTGTAACCTGCCTTCAGTCTGTGGCCATCCATTGTAGTACATCAAGTACATATGCGTGGCCCTTGGGTGTTTTCAGGGGCTGCACTTGAGGCCCCCCAAGTATCAAGAGAAGTTGACAACCAACTCTTTAAAGGCTTCTAACCAGAGGCGTCCCTAGGGTTGGTGTCACCCGGTGCTGTAACACTTGGTGACACTCCCTCCGACGATCCCCGCAGGATGGATCGGATCTGCGGATTGGGGAGCATAATGGATCAGAGTTCGATCCATTATGCTCCCCAATCCGCAGATCCGATCCATCCTGCGGGGATCGTCAGCATGCAACCTATACGGGGTGACACCAAACCCGCTCCACGAAAAGGTAAGTTGTAAAGCAAGCCGACGATCCCCGCAGGATGGATCGGATCTGCGGATTGGGGAGGATAATGGATCGGAGTCCGATCCATTATGCTGAATCCGCAGATCCGATCCATCCTGCGGGGATCGTCCACTTGCTTCACAACTTACCTTTTCATGGAGCGGGTCCGGTGTCATCCCATGCGGTCGGTGCCACCTGGTGCGGTCCGCACCCCCCCCCCCCGCACCCGCCTTGGGACGCCACTGCTTCTAACCAAGCCCTGAAATACCCCCCCCCACCCCTCCCCCAGGTCAAGAAGGGGCAATAAACTGCGTCATGGAATACAAATTTAATGTGAAATACATTCACCGCTTTTCTCTCTCTCCTCCGGTTCTGCCTGAAAATCCAGAATCGCCCCATTTTCTGAGAAGGTCCTAATGGTTCGATCTGTCCGGCGCTCGCCATACCCAACCCCCGACCCCTCCCCCCCTCACCCCCCCCCCCAGGTCCTTGCTGTTGCCATAATCACCGACTTAATTTTTTTCCCACAACTTTGAGGCTTAATAGCTTTAAAATTTTACAAGTTGTAAAAACAATTAAAGTCGTAATTTTAAAAATAAGCAGAAACAGCCCATCAAACGGCGGCGAACCTTTCACACGTCGCGGCTAAATAGGAGCTTGTGCTGCCGTCAGATGCCGACCGGCGTTGAGAAAACACAGGAGCGCTTTTTTTTTTTTTTTTTTTTGCGAGGACGCCAATGCCAGCTCGGCTCGACTGTTTATTTTCACGGTTCCGTGGAAGAATTTTAATGTAACGAGCGTTGCCTGCGCTAATGTAAAGAGCGGCTTCGCAACTGTAATTACCGTGTCAGAAAATTCTCGGCTTAAAAGGCAGCACCTGACAGAAGAGATTTGATTTGTATTTAAATCGTGACGGCGTTGGGGAGGGGGGGAGGGGCCTAAAACACTCAGACAACACGCAGCCCCTCAACGGCGCTATTGTTCCTTATCGCCGTCCTGCGAGCGGCTATTTATGCCCAGGATATGGCGACATTTAACACCTCGTAATGTATTTGACTTTCAGCATGGCTTTGTTTTTCTTTCCCACTTTTGTACATTGTGATTTGTGAGCGCATCGACTTTTTTATTTTTTTTTTTATGCGCACCACGTCGCCGCTTAAAATGATTTTTTCTTGCATTCTTTATATTAACCAGGAAACGGGTTCGCTGCAGTAAAAAATGACAGTAGACAGTCTTTGACAAGTCCGTAATCAACCCCTTCAAGTCCGGACACTTTCCCCCCCTTCCAGTCCGGACACTTTCACCTCCTTCCAGTCCGGACACTTTCCCCCCCTTCCAGTCCGGACACTTTCCCCCCTTCCAGTCCGGACACTTTCCCCCCCTTCCAGTCCGGACACTTTCACCTCCTTCCAGTCCGGACACTTCCCCCCCCTTCCAGTCCGGACACTTTCTCCCCTTCCAGTCCGGACACTTTCCCCCCCTTCCAGTCCGGACACTTTCCCCCCCTTCCAGTCCGGACACTTTTTCCCCCCCTTCCAGTCCGGACACTTTCACACCCCTTCCAGTCCGGACACTTTCCCCCCCTTCCAGTCCGGACACTTTCACCCCCCTTCCAGTCCAATCGCTTTCCCCCTTCTTCCAGTCCGGACACTTTCCCCCCCTTCCAGTCCGGACACTTTCCCCCCCTTCCAGTCCGGACACTTTCCCCCCTTCCAGTCCGGACACTTCCCCCCCTTCCAGTCCGGACACTTTCCCCTCCCTTCCAGTCCGGACACTTTCCCCCCCCTTCCAGTCCGGACACTTTCCCCCCCTTCCAGTCCGGACACTTCCCCCCCTTCCAGTCCGGACACTTTCCCCCCCTTCCAGTCCGGACACTTTCCCCCCCTTCCAGTCCGGACACTTTCCCCCCTTCCAGTCCGGACACTTTCCCCCCCCCTTCCAGTCTGGACACTTTCACCCCCTTCCAGTCCGGACACTTTCACCCCCTTCCAGTCCGGACACTTTCACCCCCCCTTCCAGTCCGGACACTTTCACCCCCTTCCAGTCCGGACACTTTCCCCCCCTTCCAGTTTGGACACTTTACCCCCCTTCCTGTCCGGAAACTTTCACCCCCCTTCCAGTTTGGACACTTTACCCCCCCTTCCTGTCCGGACACTTTCACCCCCTTCCAGTGCGGACACTTTACCCCCCTTCCTGTCTGGGCACTTTCCCCCCCTTCCTGTCCAGGCCAATTTTCAGCTTTCAGCGCTATCACACTTTGAATGACAATTGCGCGGTCATGCAACACTGTACCCATATGAATTTTTTTTAGCATTATCTTGAGACAGATAAAGCTTTATTTTGGTGGTATTTATTCACCGCTGGGATTTTTTTTTTTTTGCTATAAAAATGAAAAAGTCCAAAAAGTGTTTTTCTTATAAAATTTTGCAAATAAATAATCTTTTTTTTTTCCACTGATTGCTTTTACACCCATAAAGGCTGTAAAATCAATAATTTCTCCTCTCTGGCTGCATTCTTGCAGCCATTGAGAAATACTGTGAGAGCTGTGGTTCTTCTTTTTCTTCTTCTTTTTCCTTCTTCTTCTTCTTCTTTTTCTTCTTGTGTTCTTCTTTTTCATCTTCTTCTTCTCCTTCTTCTTTTTCTTCTTCTGTTTCTTCTTCTTTCCTTCTTCTTTTTCCTCTTCTTTTCTTCTTCTTTTTCTTCTTCTTTCTTCTTCTTCTTCTTCTTCTTCTTCTTCTTCTTCTTTCTTCTTCTTTTTCTTTTTCTTCTTCTGTTCTTTTTCTTTTTTTCTTTTTTCTTTTTCTTCTTTTTCTTCTTTTTTTCTTCTTGTTGCAGGTCACGGCTCATGCACAGATTTTTTATCAGCAAAATGATCGGCCAATTTGCCCATCATTGCCGGGAAAATCGGCTGTTCGTCAAAATCGGCCGCAAATTTTCAAACTTTACCTATAAATAAAATGTGCCAAAACCCCAAAAAACAGTTGACCAATTAACCCACTAATGGTGTGAAAATCGGCCGATTTTCGACCCGTCTATGGCCTGCATAAGCCTACTAATACATTGTAACAAGACATATAAAACCATTGTATCAAAAGTAGCGATCTCAAAGAACAAGAAGAAAGGAAGAAAAGAAAAAAGGAAAGTAAAATAAAAAAGGTAAACAAAGAAAGAGAAAAAGAAAAATGGATAAAAAAATTGTGAAAAAATAATTATGAAAAAATTATAAATGAAAAATAGAATAGCAAACACAGGTTAAAGTAAATATCCCAAGAAGATATGGGATAAGAAGCCACATTAGTAAATAATCAAAATTTAAATATAAAGATATGCAAAAAAACGCATAAAAAAAACGCATTAAAAAAAAAACGCATTAAAAAAAAAAACACAAAACACGTCTACTTGGGATACAATCACAAAAAAAACATACATATTCAGACCGAGTTATATCAAAACGGCAGAAAAAAGAAATTTATACTAAAAGTAACGCATTGAAAAACAACCAATCAAAAAACAAAAGAAACGCATCATAAAAAAAAGGAAGGAAAATCCCAAAGGGAAAAAAGAGATGGTATTAAAAAGATGTGTGTGCGCATGTAAGGTGTACATGTAAGGTGCGCATGTAAGGTGTGCATGTAAGGTGAACATGTAAGTTGAAAGGTGAACATGTAAGGTGAACATGTAAGGTGCGCATGTAAGGTGTACATGTAAGGTGCGCATGTAAGGTGCGCATGTAAGGTGCAGGATGTGTGCCCATGTAAATGAATGTGCATCCAAAAAAAAAAACGAAGTAATGAAATATATGAAAGGATACATATACATACATACAAACAACACGTATAATAAAATACATATATACTCACATACATATATATATATGGATGCACACACATGTGCACATGCACACACATGCATCTATATGCAGGGCTGAAGGGAACACTAGAGACATGCTCTAATCATGATGCCCGCCGCCGTTCATAAAAAAAACCAAACAAACAACCGC